GGAGTGTTCTATGGTCTGCTGGGGTAATAATATAGTGTAAAGCGCATAGAGCCTGCTGTTGAGCTGGGATATGCGCTATACAAATGCTATGTATTATTATTATTATTACGAGAGCGCAGGATACATTTAACATCAGTTGGTAGGACATTTTGAATTTTGCTCAGATGGCGGCCGAAGCCTACTCCTACCGATTTACAGGACACTCTGTCCTTAACCTGGCCTGGTCTGTGGTGTCGCGGTGAAGCGCTTCGCCGTCGCGCGCACGCACAAAACCCGAGGTCGATTCACGGTTTGTGGAAAATTTTTCTCGAGTACCTCGGCTGTCTCGTTGAAAGGTTAAATCTCAGGTCACCCCCCCCCCCCCCCGGGGGCGCTGCAACTGACTGAAGTGTCTTTAGGCCATTCCCAAAGGGGGAGGTCATCAACATGTTCTTATGCACTGTAGAATTGTAAATGGGCTGATTCATCAATGTCATGCTCATAACTGTGCCTGAACTGCAACAGGTTACTGCTGCTTTTTCTTTCCTAATCCTAACTATCGTCATTTTTCTTCTATTTCTTGTGTATGTTTGTCACTCTCTTATGACCCTCTATTTCCGGAGGGCTTTGATAGTCGAAGCAGACATTGTGCTGTTGCAGCTAGAGAGGGGAGCAAAGTAAGCCTAATTCCCTGTAAAGACTTCTCTGTTGACATCCACCCCTTGGCTCTCATATGACCTTATACAGTTGCGAGCGAAGTAAAAAATCTACTAAAACAAAAACAAAAATCCATGGTGAGAGAGATGGTAAAGGTCTAACGCCCCTATCAACACAGTAAGGTTATTTAAGGCGGGACCTCCGAATTCAACGTCCATTGCCGAAAGAAATGAGTCAAGTGGGACATTCGCGTAAAGTGTCTTTCCCAAGGACGCAATGTCGGACCGAGCTGTTAAGTTCCTCTCAACCCGGGTTGGCCTTGTCAGGTAAGGTCGAAATCCGTCTCCTTGATGTTATCTTTTTAAAATTGTCTTAAGGGGGACATAAAAAGCTACATAAAACTAGACAAGGGACAGGGGAAATCTCTTCTCAGCCTGGACAACGGTGTCTTTTGAGAAAGGGTTGGTTTTGGTTTAGATGAGAGTTTTATGGCACTTGTAACACAATAAGGTTTATACCCAGTGAGAGAAACACACAAAGAGAGAGAGAGAGAGAGAGAGAGAGGGAGAGAGAGAGAGAGAGAGAGAGAGAGAGAGAGAGAGAGAGAGAGAGAGAG